TTAATAAAGAAGGCATTAGTACATTAGCTAGTACTCTTGGGCCGTTGGTGGCTTTTAATAAAGAAGGCATTAGTACATTAGCTAGTACTCTTGGGGTTCCAATAAGAATGAATGCTTGAACTACGGTTACGTATGAAAAAGCTTGGGGTCGTCCACGCTTTGCTAAAGTGCTTGTGGAGGTTTGGGCTGTAGGGCAACTGAAACGTGAGCCTGAGGTGTCAATTTCAAATATACGGGGTGATGATGATACGGTGGACAAAGTGGGTGTAGGATATATGTGGAAGCCAGTTGAATGCACGCACTGCATGGTTTTTGGGCACAAATTAACGTTCTTCATATCCTAAAGCTTGCCTTAGTGATTCTAAGGATAAAAAGGATGGTAAAAGACCGTGAATGTCAATGAAGATGGATTTACAGTGGTGGAACGCAAAAGAAGGGCCAACCCTAACAATGGTAGTCTAGCTCATAATGAGAAGAAGAACCCACCAAAATTCAAAACTGTGCCTTCATATGGCATAAATAAATAAGATAATGGGAAAGAAGAGCATACAAATCGTAAAGAAATGGATGATATGAGGGTGGATAAGCCCATTTCTGATCCCCCTCTCAAAGAACCTTTAACCCTTGAACCACTTTTCTCTTTGGCGGTCAAATCATTTCGTTTGATAAATAAGGCGCGTAGGGGAGTGCCGGTTAATCCCCCTATGTAAGTCTACTATGATCAATCTTTAGGTAAGAATCAAAGAATCCATGGCAGATCTAAGATTTAACATTCAAGAACTTGGAAGGAGATTGAGAGAATTTGTCAACCTTGGTCAAACTTTCAATATACGTAATATGTTTACAATTGAGTTCCTTAACTAAAATTACACAAAACTATATATAGGGTCAAAGATGAACCCTTCTAAGTCAAAGTCAAACTCACTAGAAAAGTCAAACACGATGTCTATTACAATTATAGACAAAATTAACTTTCAAGAAAAATATAATTTAACACTGAAAATCAATCCTAACATTCTCCCCCTTTGTATTCAGGCTTGAAAAATTTTACGTGCTTTGAATCTCGTTTGAACTTTGTCTCTTTAAGCACTTTATGACTTTTTCAATATGAAATCTTCAGATGATCGTTTGTTGAGAAAATCTTCTAACATTCTCCCCCTCGAATGTAGAACAACGATGCTCTTCTCTTTTGACAATGTAGAACAATATCAGCAAAGATCTTCAGATATAATCTTCAAGATACGATCTTCAAAGAATCTTACTCAGATAACGAATTACATACATTCTCCCCAAAAATGAATTTCTTCAGATAAAATCTCAAACATTCTTCTTCAAAATTGAACGATCTCTTCGATAAGAAGTCTTTATCAGTAAACTTTTGAAACGATGATCTTCACATTCAAAAACTCTCAGACAATGTAGCATAGGAATAATCTTCAGTAATAATCTCCAATCACACTCCTTTGAATCTTTTGCCCATTTTTTATATTACTCTCCCTTGATCTTTACAACATATTCCCCTTATATCATTCGGAATTGAACATTTAATTCATTATTACATACTCCCCCTTATGATGAAATGAGAATCATTACATCATACTTCAGAATGATTGAAATCTTCAGCGAGAACCGTCAATTCATAAAATTGTAAGTAGATCTTTTCAAATCCACTTGTATAATCTTTTCAGATTAAGGGAATGGGAAGGTAACAACCAGTTTCAACTTATGAAATTGTTTTCAATCTTATAAAAAGATTGGTCTGTGAGTATAACAAATATACTCAGTACAACGGATGTACTGTATATATGAGATTTTTTAAGGTTCATCTCACCAGGTCTTCTATTCAATCATCGATATCTTATAAAAAGTATATCTATGAATGTTTCGACAAAATAACATATAAAATGCTAAATCTGTGTAGTGTAGAAAAATAAAGCAACATATGCTTCTCTTTAGGCTCAAAAAGATAAACCGTGTGGACTACACAAATTTATCAGACTCAATTCGTGATCAAAAAGACTTGAGGGGGGGGGGGGCATATATCCTTCTGATTTCAATATCAACTTTCTCTAAATGAG